GAAATAACAAACATGCCACAGTCGGGCGTCTGTGCGACACCACATAAAGGGCTTATAAGTAAAAGAAATAACAAAACATGCCACAGTCGGGCGTCTGAGCGACACCACATAAAGGGCTTATAATTAAACGAAATAACAAACATGCCACAGTCGGGCGTCTGTGCGACACCACATAAAGGGCTTATAAGTAAATGAAATAACAAAACATGCCACAGTCGGGCGTTTGAGCGACACCACATAAAAGGCTTATGTATAAAAATAATCGTAGTGAATATCCAGGAGGTAGAACCGTCCCAGGGTTACTCAATAATTCAAATAACATAAATGGTTAGTCCATAATAATAATAATCATAATCATCATACATCACAAGTCATGATCAATATTCTGGTTTAATAGTTTCTCCTCTGAAGAACGACACTAAGACCGACACTTGACCCATCCCAGACTGTAGTCCTTAACCATGGACACGACTATTCGAATAGGTATTATCTCTGCAGAGGGTGTACTCTTTACCCACGAGTAACAGATTTCTTTAGTCCATCGGAACTAATTCTGTCTACGGTCTTTTAGTCGAAAACAAGCCTGACTTGTACCCACCAGCTTAACTTTACTCGTGTATGGAATCACCCAGACACCTGCTAAGCAAAACTCTAAGAGGGGAGGCTACAACCTCGCGTAGCATGGGATCAAATTTTTATCGCGCGCTCTAAGGGGTGGCCTCCCCTCTCGGTCCCAGCCGGAAACACCCATGCCCTCGGACCAGGTGGCATGCCTACGAGATACAACCGGTATCTTCCACCATGGCCTCTCTGTACGGTGTGTGCTAGGACAGGGGTTGACAACTTACTGAACCGTACCCTACCTACGGTAGGGGCAAGTGGCAGCACGAAACAAGTATGGGGGTTACTGGAACAAGACTCGATCTACGGTCGACTCAGGAGGCTTAAGTATTTCCTGCATGGTTAGCTCAAGAATTATATTTCACAGCCATCAGACACAACCACCACTTATCATACCTCCCCCTGCCCTACCGGTCATAACCGTCTCGACGAGGGACAAGCTCGTGTCTACACAAGACAGAGACTTTCCCGGGTCCTTCCCGGAAGGCATGAGAGGCATATGAGGGTGATTGCTATCACAAGCTTATCCATTTCCAACAGCAAGAATTTTCATTTATGCACTCAACGTGTATGATCATATCGTCACATAAAAATAACCAACGCTTCATGTCGAGGTGGTGTTATAACTGTATCGAACAACCCACAAAACATTATGCCAGGGTTCAGAATGCTTGCCTTGAAGGTGTGGAGAGGTGAGGTGCACTCCAATACTTTTTGAAAGCTCTCTTCTCTCTCTCCAAAATCCTATTTTTGAAAATATGCAAACAACACATACTTTAAAAACAGTACAAAAAGTTGTCTTAATTATTTTTGAAATAAATCTTAAAATAAACTAGGTGAAATTGGAGAGAGGTAGGAAAAAGAATCAATTTATTTGGACTTATATTTAAAAAGTTATAGCCAGTCAAAGTTTTGGTCAAATTCTGTTTTTAAATTAAAACAGAAAAAGAAAACGTTTCAGATAGAAATACGCTTCCGGGGCAGAGGAGACGTACTTATGAAGTTTACGCCTTCACTTAAAACACATGGAGGCGGGGCTGGGTCACTGACAGTGGGTCCACAGGGCCCAATGGTCAGGTTTGACCAGTCGCCTCTCCCTCCTTTATCCTCTGCCTGAGCGGGGGTGGGATTCGGGCGATCGTCGCCGGCGAACGGAGGCTCCTCGAGGGCATCCGAGGCCAGGGATGGATCCGCCACTCCTAGCCGGTCCTCTAGGTGGTCGACTGACTGGCGGGGACGGAGGGAATCACCGGCGGCGAGCTCCGCGGCGGAGGGAGCTTCGGGCAGGGTTGGGGGCTTTGTCTCCGGTGGCTCCCGATTAAAATCGAGCTTGGGGGTGGACTCACGAGACGAAGGGAGGGCCCCTGGTGAAGAGAGTGGAGAGGGAGAGGCCCTGGTGGCGCCGGAGTGAACGAGACAGTGGCAGCGGCCGTGGTTGCCAGAGATGAGGAAGACGACCCTTCTGGTCTTTCCACTGCCACGGGAGGGTCAGTGAGGGAGTGAGGGAAGTTGCTTGAGGGCCTGACGAGCTCGGGGCTTCTTATATAGGTGAGCAGTGGTGGTTCCGACGATGGCCGAGGATAAGAACGCCGGCGACCATCATTCTGTAGCTAGGGCGACGTGGCGGCGACGAGGGCTTGCAGATGAGGCTGCGGATGAGCTTGAGCTGTTCAAGGGGGCAGCTGGTGAGCACTGGTGGCTCGGGCGGCGCCGTCCATGGCAGAGGCTGCTATGGCCACCCGCTAGCCGCCGTTGCCGACCTGACGGTGGCGCTATTGGGCGCCATGGGGGCTTGGCCGGTTCCTGCGAGCGGATGAGGTCGGGGGGGGGGGTGCGGCTCTGCAGGCGAGCAAGGGCCGGGGCGCGACGCGGCGACCGGAGCGCACGCATGCTACATGCTCGACAATATGCCAAGGCATGCTAGGGGGCTCCAAACCACAAGAGAGTTAGCAGGGTGGGGCTATAGGCTTGGGCAAATCCATGTGACATGCTGGTCTAGTCAGGGGATCAAGTTCATAACACAAACCAGAAACTAAGCCAAAACTGGTCATGCACTCAGGGTGTTTGACAAAATGCCAATGGCATCTAGGCAACTCTTGGGGTGGCCAAATTCTCCAGATCAGTGTCTCCTTGGATGAGTAGGAGGGTGGTGAGGTTAGTTTAAAAAAACAAACACTTGTTAGTGCAAGTTCTGCAAAACTTCAGTTCTGGACAACAGGTAAATGGCATTGTTTCATGATCCAGAAATCTTCCAATGGGTCCCCTCTTCTGGACTTAAGGGTTTTGCAAGGTGGGCCATAAGCGGGAGAAAACTCAAGGGTACTAGAGCAAATTAAACTAGGGTTGTTGTAGAAAAAGCCAAACTGGATCAGAAAGCAAAAGAGGTTGATTCACTCAAATTTTTCAAACAACACCACTGGGTTTGTGCATAGAGTTGAATTACATACCACTACTAACATCCCACAATTTTGGTGGAGGCTAGAAAGAAATATTTAAATGGCTTGTAGTGCAAAATTGCCCACTGGACCAGATTTGAAAAAATTGGTGTAGAGCTCAAAATATTAAATGAATGAAATATATTTTTGCATAAAAGTGATTTAAAAGCATCACATGACATCTCCAAATTTTGGTCAAAAGTTTAAATAAACTTATCAAGTGGTTGTAGTTCAAAAAGGCTCCAAAACAAATGAAAAATCATTTTAATGAATAAAGCTCAGAGAGAATTAATTATGCAATTAAATTCCACTGATCATAGAAATGTTTTTCTTGAGGGGGAAAACAAGTCCAATAATACATTTGGAAAGTTTTTCACTTGAGGTGAAAATCCCGAAATAATAAGGTAAAGAAAGACCCTGAAACCAAAAGAAAAACCATAAAATAAAAGTTTAAATTTCCTGGCAAAATTTTAATTAATAAAACAAGGTCAAAATTTTGGGGTGTCACAAAAATGGCGTTGTGTTTTTTATTTTTTGAAAAGGTAAATCCTAGGTTTTATAAACTTCGAACTTCTGTGTTATTTCAATTTGAACTTCACCTTTTTATATTTTGATTAAAGAATTGTATTCATTTTTTATACGAAAAAAATCGAGCATGGAAATACTAGGTGAACCTCTCTCGCAAGAATTTTTGAACCTCCCCGGCCAGAGCACTTGAACTTCTTTCAACAAACCTTTTAAGCTTTTAATTTTCTGTACTTTTATTCTCATTTGAAATGCATCCCTTGCAGTAGTTGAACTTCTCGTTGTTTTCACCTTGAACTTCTGTCACGTATTTTTATTCAACCTCTCATAAGAATTTTTGAACTTTCTCGGGCTGAGCACTTGAACTTCTAGCAAAAAAAAACTTTTTAGCCTTTGCTTTTTTATTCTTTTTTCCATACAAAATGCACACTGTGTAGTACGTGAACTTCTAGCAGTTATCAACCTGAACTTCTCTCGGTTAAGTGAGAATATCTGAGTTTTTTCAATTTTTTGAACCTCTTTTTGTGTATTTTCTAGAAATGTGAAAAATTGGAGTTTTTTTAGTAAATGTCAAACTTCTTCGTTATTTCAAGCCGAACTTCTTGGTTTACTCATTAGTAACGGGAAAATTTTGAGTTTTTTTGCAATAAATATTGAACTGCTCTGTTCTTTTAAATATATCTTCTTGGTTTTTCATGTACATTGTACTATTCTATTTATAAAATTGAACTTCTTGGTTTTTTCAATTTGTATTTTCTTGGTGTTATTCATTAGTAACGGTTCAAGTCTTAGTTATGTGAAAAACATCAAACCGCCCAATTATTTAAATTTGAACTCAGATAGGTGCTCAAGTATATTTTTGGATGTGCTCATTCCTTTTAGATTTCCAATTTTCATCTGCCACCGTGGTGACTTTGTTTGGTGCAAGACATTGGGACATAGGTGCAAAGTGCAAACCATTGCAGTGAAAAAACCCTCAAATATACTAGAGCAAGCAAGAAGCACTCAACAACAGCATCAGTCTTTTATGCAACACAACATGATGATGGTACAGCAGGTACAAATTACAGTCTCGCGGCAGTAAAGATAAAAAAAGTTGATACTACAAATTACACACACTGAAAAGACAACAAGGCTGTAGGAGGGTAAAATCCTAGGACTCTTTCAGACTTTACACTTCACAACACGATGGGGCAGCAGCATGCATGATCCACTGTAGCGACACACGACATGGCCGCATGCGCACTGCATGCACGCACAGACATCTTTTTATTTTTTATACTCGATCGACAGGTTCAAAAGCACAGAATGGGACAGATATACGGGAGTAAAATATGAGGATCACACAGGAAGTGGATAGACAAACTTAGCAGCAAACATTACAAAACACCATCCTGCTGGACATGGTGGATGGGCAGGTCAAGCGAGGAGCCAGAAGTTCTTGTGCCACCGGGTACTGACGAGGTAGCTGCCGACGCCCTTGCTCTGCTTCCTCACCGCCGGTGTCAGGCACTCGGCCTGGTGTGGCCCACGACCTGCCCAAGGGGTTGCCCGCGAACTTCCCAGGGCGCTGCCACGACCTGCCCTCATGCGCACCTCGGATGACGCTGGATCCTGGGAGGACACATGCGTCAGATCCGCGTCGATGGCCGAGGAGGTGGATGGGCCCATTGGAAGGAGGGTGCCGCTGTAGCCGGGATAATAGCGAGCGAGGATTTGGGCAGCGGTGCGCGCGAGGTTGATGGCCCGCGGAGGAGGCCGCTGCCATGGTGGATTCAGGGGGAGGTAGGCCACCACCGAG